GGTCGGAGGAACAACAAGTTCATTTATTAAAAGGTAGCCACTCGGAGCCTTAAAATGAACATAGTTTGAAGCAAGAGTGCTCCTCAAGCCCTAACTGTTTCGACTGCCTTCTAAATTTGCTGAAAAATTTACAAAACAATTGTTTTCTTTTGAATTTTTGCTCCGTCATTTTTCTTATTTTTATCCCCATACACCCAAATCTTCATGTGAACTACAATGTGTTCATTTTGGCGTCATTTAGAACAAAATTGCTTGCCTGCATCAAATTTTGAATGTTTTAATTTGCTGCTTGCGACTTAGCTGGACAGAATATACCGGGCGTTAGTTTACTTAACTTCAATTATTGTTGTGAAAGTGGTCCCAATTTAAGTCCCAAATAATTTTGGTTTTATGGACACAGTTGAATTCTTTTTTATTTTGAGTTTCAGATATCAAACTTTTTCATATATTTTAAGAAAATTCCGCCAAATGGGTGGTTACAAAGCCAAAATTTGTATGAAGAAAAAAGTCCCGAGCGCAAATACTCTTTCATTTTCTTCAACAGTGTGAACGATTATATAAAACAAACATTGAATCATGTACATCATATGTCTCGGGCCGAATATGAGCTCACCGTGCAAAATGGGCGAAATCGAGCAAGTGTTCGACTTTTGGTATTGATATTTGATATTTGACATTTGATATTTCGTTTGTGCTTATTCTAAAGTTTTTGCTTTCGGGTACATATATAATTTTCAACTATCTGATTATTTGGTTAAGTAACACGGCAACAAAGTATCTTGATGGCAAAAAATTTCTTGCAGTTTGTTGTGAAATTAAAACAATATTTAATCAAATCTAGTAATTTCTGGTTTTGCCAAAAATGGGGTCTTCCGAAAAACTTTGTTGTCTTCTTTTTTAAGTCAACGAAATGAGATTCCTGTCTACTCCCATCACAATATAAAGATCCTCAGTTGCACAAAATTTTTGTGCAGCACGTGTTTTTGTTCATAAACAACAAGATGAACTGCTCTTTTTATGCAGTTTTTGGAATGTGTTGAGACTGCCAACTCACTTCTTAACATGTTGACGCTTATTGAAATGTTAAGGGGTTTTTAACCAAAAATGGATGTCGTATGATAGCACCAAAAAGGACACTTAGGGTGGTCAGAGGGTTGAATCCCGGTGAGGCAGAAACTCTATACGAAATAGGTTCACTTTAGGGTTTCCTTAAAATTCGAGAAAAATTATCCGAAAACCCTCCTCCCTCCAACAAAATTCTGCATAGACCACAATCCGACGCTAATTGTTCCGACTTTCGATACGAAAGTAACGGAATATTTGTTCTCGGGGTGGTTTTTTTTTTCTTCACACAAGTTTCGATTTTCTAACTAGCAATTTTAGACGTTTTTTATATCAGCCAAAAGATATTGTTGTACTGAGCTCATATTTAAAAAAATATTTTAATTGTGATTATTTATTTTTCATAAAGTTACGGGGGTTTAAAGATTGCCATTTTTGCCAATTTGGGACAAATAACGCGCGATATATTTCGCATTATTAACGCGTAAGCGGAGTGTAAATCCATCTTAGAAATCGTTCCAAATTGTTAAAAGAAACCTATTTGCCATAATTGGTTTGTTACAAGGAGCAAAATCTATCCTTTTGTACTTTATATGGCGTGTGGGGGGATGATTTTTATTTAAAAAAAATTCAAATTTGAGAATTTTTTTTTTCATTTAGTTTTATTTCATTGAATTTTTTAATGTTATTACTGCTCCATAAACCTTAAAGGCAGTCGGAACATTCAGGGCTTCGCCCTGATACGAGCAGTCGTGTTGTTCCGACTTTCGATACGAAAGTAACGGAATATTTGTGCTCGGGGTGGGTTTTTTTTTTCATCAGACAAATTTCGACTTTTTAACTAGCCATTTTTGACGGAATATTTTTATTTCATTCGAAAGCTATTGTTGTCCTGAATTTAAATTTGAAAAGATATTTCACCTGTGATCATTTTTCGTAAAGTTATGAGGGTTTAAAGATTGCCATTTTGACCAATTTGGGACAATTAACGCGCGATATAATTCGCGCTATTAACGCGTAAGCGGAGATTTAATCCGTCTGAGAAATCATTCCAAATTGGTTGTAAGAAGCTTATTTGCCATAATTTATTTGTTACAAGGAGAAAAATTTATTGTTTTGTTCTTTATATGGCGTGTGGGGGGGATGATTTTTATAGAAAATTTTTCAAATTTTAGAAATTTTTTTTTTTCATTTTCATTTAATTTTTTAATGTTGTTTATGTTATTACTGCTCCATAAACGTTAAAAGGCTGTCGGAACTTTCAGGGCTTCGCCCTGATACGAGCAGTCTTGTTTTGTTTAAACTTGTTTAAAAAACTTATTTCAACAGTGTTGACTAGTACAAAAAAGTATTCATCTTTATGGTATATGCCAAGACTTAGCTCATTCAACTCATCTGTTTCTGAGACGTGCTGTAACGAACAATTATACAAACAACAATACTGCTCGTATCAGGGCGAAGCCTTGAATGTTCCGACTGCCTTTTAAGGTCTATGGAGCAGTGATAACATGAAAATTTAAATGTAATCAAATAAAATTAATTTTTTTTTTGATTTGAGATTTTTTTGTGAAAGCATTCCCCCACACGTCATATTAAGTACAAATTGATAAATTTTGCTCCTATTAACAAATCAATTAAGACATATAAGCTTCCTTGAATCAATTTGGAACGATTTATAAGACGGAATAAATCTCGCTTACGCGTTATTAGTGCGAAATATATCGCGCGTTAATTGTCCCAAATTGACCGAAATGGCAATTTAAACCCCCACAACTTTACGAAAACTGATCACAGGTAAAATATCTTTTCAAATTTAAGCTCAAGACAACAACGCCCTTCGCATGATATAAAAAACCCGTCAAAAAAGGCTAATTAAAAAGTCGAAGAAAAAAAACCCAAACGGACCACAAATATTCCGTTACTTTCGTTACGAAAGTCGGAACAACAAGACTGAATGTTCTGACTGCCTTTAAAAGTTTCAGGAGCAGTAATAAACTTAAAAAATTTATTGTAATAAAATGAAAAAAAAAATTTCTAAAATTTGAAATTTTTCAATGAAAATCATCCCCCGATACGCCATATTAAGTACGAAAGGATAAATTTCGTTCCTTGTAACAAATCAATTATGGCAAAAATAAGCTCAAACATCCTGCCGACCCAAAGTGTCCCCCCTTTGGTACTTTTTACGAAATCCACCTTTGGCCGACCGACCCTAAAATTTTTCTAAAGGCGCCTTTGGCGCCAATATTAACTATTTTTTGAGGGGGAGCGCGCGCCAAAAAAACGCGATTTTTTTGTCAAAATTTGTCAAAAATTGCCTAAAATGGCTTTTTTGACTGTTTTTTCAAAAGTTTGCCTGCGGCGCAGAAAATTTTGCCAAAATAGGGGCAAAACAGTGCTTTGGGAGAGCTCAAAAAATCTATTTGGTCGACCTAAAAAAAAAGGTCCTCAAAATTTTCGATTTCTTTTTGAAAATCCGCCACCCCCTCGAGAAAATCCTGGATCCGCCCCTGATCACAGGTAAAAATATCTTTTCAAATATATGCTCAGGACAAGAATACCTTTTGAATGGTATAAAAAAAATCCGTCTAAAATTGCTAGTTAAAAAATCGAAACCTGTCTGAAGAAAAAAAACCCACCCGAGCACAAATATTCCGTTACTTTCGTATCGAAAGTCGGAACAAAAAGAGGTTGTTTAACATAGGTAAAGGAGTGGCTATTTAAACATTACTTACTCGCTTTCAATAGAAAAGGGTACGAAAGATAGGCAAATGAGCGTCAACATGGCGAATAAAATGTTGAGCACGTAGAACTGAGACCTCCTCTTGATTCGACATCGGGCACTCAGAAATGAACTCATTGTCGAAACTAGGTTGCTGTGGTTGGGGTGCTTGATGCCATGTTTGTTCTTAGATTTTCCACTTCCTGTAAAAGTTTTCTGGTTCTAGAACAAAAAAAATTTTAAAATTAATGTTTGTTCCTGGTCTAGGTGCTCGACTGATGTTTCGACTTTTCAGGCGAGAATGAGCAGCTACTCAAAAGTTTCTAAAAAGTTTCAGAAAATGATCAATTTTTTATTCAGAAAACTATTTTTTGATTTTTGTTACCGCATGTTGATACTTTGAATGTCACTTTTCTTGAAGTTAATTTTTCAATTGAACTGGCTCGTGTATCTGTATTAAGAGTATATTGATGCTCAAGGGTCGTCCTATAACAGACCATTCTGGATACCTTGGTGATGGCTTTGACAGACTCTAATGCTTGCAGTGACTTCAATGGCTTCGATTTCTTCTCGTCTTTTGAGTTGTCACTGGGAAAGAAATTAGTAGGGGGGATAGAGTTGGGGTTCCCCTCAACAATGTCCACGTGTGAGAACATCTCCCAGCCCTGAAAAAAATAAGCTAAGATAATATTTGGTTTTTCATTTCTGTTTTAGTAAAAGCGTGTCAAAAGTTGAACTAATATCATCTACGGCCTTTATTGTGATCTATTTTGCTATTTTTATAGATTCATCAAAAAGAATTGACCGTTTTGAGTGATATTACATCTGAAAGAAAATTTAAATGCAGTGAAACTAGCATAATGCTTTTATATGGGGAAAAACTTTAAGTGGTGATATTTGAAAGTGACATTTAACTTATCGCAATTATAAAATATCTCGCGGTAACCAAATTGTACTTAAACCTGAATCAAAAGCTTTGCAAGTTGAACGGTCGCATTTTTTGCTATTTTTCGTTTTATTTTTGTTTAATTTGTCAAAACTCAATAATTTTTTTCGGGATTTTGATAGCAGCAGAAACAACTGAGGTGCTCGATGTCATTTTGGTTAACGAAATTGTCATGATGCTTAAAAAAATGGCATTTTTTTCGGTGCAATATTCAGCAATTTCTACTGAACCATTGAAAAAGTTTTCCCTTGAAAGAAGTCGCGTTTTTGGAATAAACTGTTACTTGTGGGTCATTCATGTTGTCCCTGTTGATGTAGGAGTACTCGAAGTGGTCCTGTTTGAGCACCACTTGATCTCTCGGAAGTCTCGAGTAGAGTGTCAATGGCAACTCCTGGTAGTCCAGAGGGAACTCATGCAGCAACATCTTCGTCTGGAAAGTTCCTGGAAGTAACCTCCCAGTGTAATTGAAGATCAAATATAAAGTATAAATAGCACCAAGTGAGGATTGGGATTCTTTGATAGGTGACCCAAGCTTGCACTTAAAGCATTGCGGGAGACTACACAATCTAAGTGGCTTCGAACGGGTTTATTTGTTAATAGTAGTTTGTCGACCTGTTTTTTTAGGTCGACCAAACTGATTTTCCGAGTACTCCCAGTATAGGGCTATAAAGACCCCATATTGACAAAAAAATTTGCGACGCAGACAAATTTAAAAAGTAACAAGCCAAAAAAGGCGTTTTTAGACACTTTTTTGGAAAATGTTGATAAAAAAATTGCGTTTTTTTCGGCGCGCGCTTTCCCCTCAAAATTAATAAATATTGGTGTCCGTCAGCCAAAAATTGATATCTCAAATTAGTCAAAACAGGATATCTCCCCATTGGTGAGGGAGAAATCCCTGAGGGAAAAAAGGTGCGTCCACTCCCTCCCATCCCTAAATCCACTGGTGCTTCCAGCACAATTTACCTTTGATCTTCTGTCGGAGCACAATCATCTGCTGGGAGTTCATCGCCTCCTCCTCACACACGAATATCTGCTCCCTTTTCACATCCTCCTTCACCATGTTGAACACATGCACCTCCGGCTGCCAACAGGACTGCAGGTAGACATCCAACTCCTCATCCGCCAGATCCTCCACGGCCTCATCCAACCATCGCAGCTAAAATGAGCACACGCTGTTTGATATTTTTCTAGTTTATGGAACAATGATTCATAGAAGACATTTTTTGTTATTTTTTTTCGTTTACAAGCAAAGAATTTTAGATAAATGAAACCTCAAAAAGTTCTCCAAAATAAACGCTTCATTCGAACTACCGCAGCTGTTAGAATTCAAGAAGTTGGTTTTTACGATGTTAAAAGAACAATTGATCACAATAATAAACGAGATAACTGAAAAAAATGCAGAAAAACAGTTGAATCATTAATGGCATTGCGAGTACTTCCTTCCCAGCTTCATTAAACTATTGGAGATGAAATGGGTCAAAGTTTGTTGATGCTATTCTTGTTAATAGAACAATGAAATCATAGAAACTTTGTAACTCAAAAATCAAGTTTCGAAAAATTTGATAAGTTTTGAGAAATTTATTTCATTATCGCAGAACCAAAGCTGAAATCGTTATTCCTATACAATGAGTTGTATGAACACCTAGAAAAGTGATATATTGTCAAATTGTGAATTAGCCTCTCTGCTATAGCATTGGTAGTTTGAGAGGACGAATGCGACCAGATTGGTAGCAATACGGGTACTAGGTCAAACTTACAGATGTAAAAATGCCCCGGACAAAAAGTACCCAACTTCAACAAGGATAGCCGGTTACTGAGCAAATAGCACAGAATGTTCCGACCATATTCTTAAAAATACAACTAAAAAGTTTTTTCGTCGTATAGTCGTTTTTCCTGCGTGGTGTGGTAAAAGGGTCTGAACGAAAATCTAAAGCTTAGGCATATGCGAGAACCGTAGTAAAATAAGCAAACTGGAAAACAAAAAATCAAAAATAATTTACCAAAATTTTCTGACGTTTTGGTTTCCAAAAAGGCGATAAAATACTCAAAAAACCAACTCAAGTCGAGTAAAAAAAAATTTTACCGCTTAAATTAAGCAATTGTAAGCTGTTAAGTAAGCTATTGAAATAAATTATTGTAAGCTTGCTCGCTCTCTCGCAATTAGACGAAAAACCACAATTTTCAAACCATTTTTTGTCGACACTGAGAAAAAATTTTCAGAATTTTTATACATCGTTTGACTCACGAGTGAAAGGGCTTCAAGAAGGTTTATCACTCAGCTTTCTTCGATAATTTTTGTGGTAGCTGATTTTGCGTTGAAAACAAAAAAAAAACTAAAACAAACCCACCCGACCACACAATTCTTTTACGTTTTTCAAATGGTCGGAACAAAAAGGCCTTTCAAAATTGCTTTTATTTGAAATGTTTTGTTTCCAAACATCACTATTCTAAAATTTTGAAAATTAAAAAACTTAAAACGTGAAATATATTTTTACTCAACCCAATGATCTCATATTGAACACAGGCTACTGAAAGAACTTAGTGAATTCTTTTTCTTAATTCATTGGGTTTCTTATCTGAATTTTTCTGCGAAATACAATTTTTTTCAAATTAAAAGTAATTGCCAAAGACATTAATGCCATTTCAAAATCATAAAAACGAATCGCAAAATTAGCTTATTGTTCCGACTTTCGAAAAAAGTGACAAATGTATATGCTCGGGGTGGTTTTTTTATTCAGAACAATTTTACAAAACTCTGGTTCTTTATGGGACCCAGTCGGGTGCGCACAATAATATCCTGCCACTAGATTTATTGCTTGTTAAATTACCCGTCTGGCAAATTATCCCGCTCTGCAAAATCGTTTCAAATTGAATTGAGGCAGCAATTAGGTTTAATAATTCCATTCCATACATGACTCAAATTGTAACACTTTTTAATATGATCAGCGCAAAACTCATTGTTTGCCAATTCTTAATTTACCAAAAACCATCCGAGACCATTTAAATGGCAGTAGGAACATTCAGAGCTTTGTCCTGATACGAGCAGTCTTGTTAAATTATGTTTTACTTCAAAGCGTAGATTTGATGAACTTTTGGATTTTTGGACTGATTTTTAGAACACCTTATTTGGTTTTCCAGCTCACAAGAAAACCTCAGGTTTGTTACCGGTTTTTTTTCCAATAAAATTGCTGTATTTTGTTTTATTAATTTTGACGACTTGTATTCCCCCGCCAGGGGTACCCATCAGTTACTTAACCTATTTTTTCAAATTTACGACACCCATTTTTGGTCGATCAGTTGTAAAAATTTTCAAAAATATTTTTAATAGAGATACCAAACCTTCCAATAGAGCCGTATAGCGTAATTTTCCAATTACATCATTTGTATCCCTATTTGTGTCATTTGTTAAAGCAGCTTTTTGTGCATTTTGGTAAAAAAGACTTTTGGAGTATTTCAAGAGAGAGTGTCAATGTGGTCGATCACTGAATGGTTGCCTCTGACAGGTTGATCATTGTGGATTAAAATCAATATGGTCGATCCCCCCCCCCAGGAGCGTATCATCAATCAGCGGTGTATCTATAAAAAATTTACGAATCTATGGGTTTCAGCTTCATTTTTCAAAATATATAACCAAATTCTTTGTGAAAATCAGTTTTTGTTTTGTGACTTGGTTGTAATGAAATTTAGAAAAATACATTGCAACTACCTGCTTTTCTCTTTAGTCAAATTGGAACCTTCACTTACTTGAATGAGAACTTCGGCATTAAAAGTCTGAGACTTTGTACTGATTTGGTAAATTTCAAGAAATCCGAATTTGACCAGCACTTCTTGACAACCTCCGAGAGACGAACGATGAAAATGCGAGTGTGGCTCACTATGATGAGCTCGCAAATCCGACGAACTCAAACACAACGAGTTGCTTCGCTCATTGCGATTCGGTTTATTTGGTGTATTTTCACTCGCAGACGATTCTATCAAAGTTTTTAACAAAGAATTGGTATGCTTGGTTGCTCGAGCTAGAACCTCAAGAGTCGATTCCAATGTGCTATCTTCATTGTCAGCTGTCATTATGTAGGATAAATTTTAAATATTTTAACGAAGTCTTAGCAGGTTCGTTAGAAGCAAAATTAATGTAAATAAAAACCTTAAATCAGAAAGGTACACAAAAATCGCCTTATGATAAGATCTTATGATTTGCACTTGATATTGACTTCATTCAAGATTTGAACCTTATTTACTATGTATTCCAATCATCAATTGAAAGCATATGACAATGATTTTCATTTTTTTGTACATTTAAGTTTAAAGATTTGAAACATCAATTTTTGACATGGGAGTAACCTAACCGTAATCTCGGCAGTGGGAAATATGCCAAACAATAAAAGCTGATCTGCCAACAGTGACAAACAATCTAACGACACAAAACTGGACAAATTTTGATAAAAACCTTGAAAATTTAACCTTTGCAAATCATAAAAGACATTTAAGTACTATTTTGTTGATAAAAAAATTTCACAAGCAAATGCTGTGCGAGTAGTTTTAAAACTTAAGCTATTCTTTTTTTTTTCATAAAAAGTCAGGTTCCACAAAAATAAGTCTAATGAGGTCGAGCAATTTATCACAAGAAAGCCATTCTAGTCGTGATTCGATTGGTATTAAAAATTTGGATCTACTTAACAATTGCCCTCCCTTTGGTACCTACTTAAGAATTGCCGCCCCTATTAATAAAAGCAGTAAATTAGCGCTAGAGCTTTGTATTGTGACTTCTAATTTTGCTGCAATCTGATTGGTCGAAAATGAGTTATATTAATCTATTTAACAATTGCCACCCCCTTTCTTAAAAGGGGGGAGGCAATTGTTAAGTAGATCCAAACTTTTTGCAAAAATTGTCATGGTAGTTATTTTAAATAAAAGCATGCATTTTTCGCGAGCTGACAAAAGGGGTTGGGAGGAGTGGCAGGCGGATTTTTGAACTCTCATTCTCAGTAATTTGATGATCCCAGACCAAATAATAAGCTGACCGTAAGTTCATGCTATTATTTGTACAGCCGGTGTCTTTTGTGATTTTTGGGAGCCGATATCTTTGCACATGACGTCGAAAAAAATGGGGTGGTTTTAAGGTCCAAAAAAGCCGATAACAAAAAGATCTCTAGTTGAACTCAATTTAGGACAGAAGATTTTGAAGCAGGTTTTAACCTGTAAAAAACTACCTCATAGCTTGTCCCCCTTCCCCAATAACCTTTTTCTGACTGCACTTTGTTTGTTATGTTATCATGGACCCCTGGGAAATTTTTCGTGGAGCAGCTGCTTCATATGATTTCCAACTTTGCGAGCAGCTGTCACACTTGCAAACGATAAAGCACACAAATATTGCTGCTGTTGATTAATTAGGCCAGTCCGTTCAATATTTAGGCTTGATTCTTTTTTTGATCTGATTGTGATTAATAAAAGATTTAAAAGTTGTCCCGTTGGTCGACGATCCTGACATATTTGTCAATTTCTGGTGATTAAAATATCCCTTTTTTCGATTAAAGCTTGATTAAGTGCACCGACGGGCTTATGGTTGCTGACAGTGGCTTCCTCTGGGTATCTGTGTTCTTCATATTGCAGATGAAAATGTCCCTTATGCACTCTGCCTCGTCAGATTCCATGATGTTGCACGTGCTGGCCAAATACGTCAGGGCTCCCCAGAATTGTTCGTACGACTCGCGGTCTTTCTGCTTTCGATTTAAAAATTTATATCTTTAGTGTTGGGTGGTTTGTTAAATGCTGCGTCAAGCAAAGTCCAGAACTCGGAGAAAGTTATTGCTAAAATCTTGACTCTCGGGTTCTTCTGTGTAAAGACTCTTTTTCCTTCGCTCCCTAAGGCTAGAAATAAAATTGATCGCAGTTTCTTGTCCGCCTCCGTTCGTCTCATTCCATTAAATTTCCTCTTTTCTTCGTTGATCCGCTTTTCTTCGGCGGATTCGTACTGTTTCATCGCGTTTTTGTTCCTATTCTCTCTGTTGGCTCTTTCCGTGTCCGACTCGCTGCCTGTTGCTTGTTCCAAAAGTGGTATTTGCGTCTCTGGTATCTCTGGTCCGTGCAGACTCTCTAAATCCAGATTTTCTTTGGCAATGATCGCCAATTGAAATTGGTCGCTCCATTGGGTCCAGGCATGCGGTGGCTCTAGGGTATGGTTAGGTCAAAAGGGGGGAATTCCACGCACGTTCGAATCATTAGACTGCGCCATAATAAACTATTCTAGTTCTGTATACCTGTGTACAGTTGCTGCACATAAACTTAAAAGAATAAAACTATTAAAAGAAAGTATGTGAATTAAGAACGTTAAAAGGTCAACTGAGGATTATCTCATATCGACCAATGGTCGTAACTAAATTGGTTAACAGGTATTAATTAAATACCGAAGGTCATTTAAGACACTAAAAACAAATCACAACAGTACAGCCGGTGTCTTTTTATGATTTTTGGGAGCCGATATCTTTGCACATGACGTCGGAAAAAATGGGGTGGTTTTAAGGTCCAAAAAGGCCGATAACAAATAGATCTCTAGTTGAACTCAATTTAGGACAGAAGATTTTGAAGCAGGTTTTAACCTGTAAAAAAAAACCTCATAGCTTGTCCCCTTTCCCCAATAATCTTTTTCTGACTGCACTTTGTTTGTTATGTTATCATATACCCCTGGGAAATTTTTCGTGGAGTAGCTGCTTCATATGATTTCCAACTTTGCGAGCAGCTGTCACACTTGCAAACAACAAAGCACGCAAATATCGTTGTTGTTGATTAATTAGGCCAGTCTAAAGAAGCTGTTAATTGAAATGTTTACTTCCCTAAGTTGAAACTTTGGAATATGATGGCTTACTTTGTACAGCAATACGGAAGAAAATTTTAACATTTGAGCTGACACTCATGATGTTCTCACACTCTGTGAAGTGATGATGTCAATTTTTTGCCCTAACACCATACTCCCACTGTAAGCTACAATTCACTAAAAATACCATGGAATTTACTAGAGATAAACAGTTCGTTGTTATCAGAGTAGGGTAGGCGAAAAAATTTACAGGCTACCACCCGGATTGACCAAAAATCCTAGTCATACAATTTCCATTTATGGAAAAATGCTAGTCATACACTTTCCATTCAATTCCATACGTACAGAAAATTGCATGAAAGGTATATGATTAGTATTTTTTCATATATGGAAATTGTATGACTAGCGTTTTTCCATAAACCAAAAATATTGATTTTTTACATTTTAATTTCTCAAAATTTTTTAGTTGTGTTCGTAACCGAGCACAAATGACATAAACCTTGATTACTCAAAAGTAGTAACCAACGGTTTAGCTGTCTCGCATTAAAAATGCATTGGAAACAGCCTGTTATGTGTTACTTCTGTCTCAGACAAATAATATAACGAAAGTAATGAACTTTTAAATTTTGGCAATAATTTTCAAAGATGATTATTTCTGAAATTTGAATTTTTAATTACCAGACATTGATCAAGGCATACAAAAACATGTCATACAAAAGAAAGAGGAGTTTTAAGCGTTTTTGAAAAAAGTTATGAAGAGAAAAGGAAACAAAAATCCAGTATTAGTTTATCCAGGACTACGTTACACACACAAAAAATTAAATTTTGCATGCGAAATTTGTTTTTCAAAAAAAGTTTGTTTGAATACGAAAATGAATTTGCCGTTGAAAAAAAACACAAAAAATGTTTGGGGGCAGTTTCAAAAATACTTAGAAAAGTTTTTGTCGTCGCCATCAAAAAAATGCTAGTAATACAATTTCCATAAATGGAAATTGTATGACTTGTTTTTTTCAGAAAACAAAAATAAAAAAGGCAATGTTTTCAGTCGTAGCAGTCCAAAAAACGCTTAAATGTTTTGCCAGCAGTTGAATTGATTGTTCAAATTTTTTTTTTTTTCACAAAAAAAATTTTTAAAAAAATTCTTCTCATACAATTTCCATATATGGAAATTGTATGGTTAGCATTTTTATTTCATACCATTTTTTTCCTTTTTTTATGAAGAGATACCAATTTCGATACCAAAACAACTACAAAACACCTTTGAATTTTGATTAAATTCATTTTGCAAAAATGTATGAAATTTGTATGACTAGCATTTTCCCATAGACTAAGGGTATGAAATTGAATGATTAGCATTTTTGGTCTTACTCCGTTCAATATTTAGGCTTGATTCCTTTTTGATCTGATTGTGATTATTAAAAGATTTAAAAGTTGTCCCGTTGGTCGACGATCCTGACATATTTGTCAATTTCTGGTGATTAAAATATCCCTTTTCGTCGATTAAAGCTTGATTAAGTGCACCGACGGGCTTATGGTTGCTGACAGTGGCTTCCTCTGGGTAACTGTGTTCTTCATATTGCAGATGAAAAGTCCCTTATCCACTCTGCCTCGTCAGATTCCATGATGTTGCACGTGCTGGCCAAATCCGTCAGAGCTCCCCAGAATTGTTCGTACGACTCGCGGTCTTTCTGCTTTCGATTTAAAAATTTATATCTTTAGTGTTGGGCGGTTTGTTAAAGCAAAGTCCAGAACTCGGAGAAAGTTATGGCTAAAATCTTGACTCTTGGGCTCTTCTGTGTAAAGACTATTTTTCCTTCGCTCCCTAAGGCTAGAAACAAAATTGATCGCAGTTTCTTGTCCGCCTCCGTTCGTCTCATTCCATTAAATTTCCTCTTTTCTTCGTTGAACCGCTTTTCTTCGGCGGATTCGTACTGTTTCATTGCGTTTTTGTTCCTATTCTCTCTGTTGGCTCTTTCCGCGTCCGACTCGCTGCCTGTTGCTTGTTCCAAACGTGGTATTTGCGTCTCTGGTATCTCTGGTCCATGCAGACTCTCTAAATCCAGATTTTCTTTGGCAATGATCGCCAATTGAAATTGGTCGCTCCATTGGGTCCAGGCATGCGGTGGCTCTAGGGTATGGTTAGTTCAAAAAGAGGGAATTCCACGCACGTTCGAATCATTAGACTGCGCCATAATGCACTATTCTAATTCTGTATACCTGTGTACAATTGCTGCACATAAACTTAAAAGAATAAAACTATTAAAAGAAAGTATGTGAATTAAGAACGTTAAAAGGTCAACTGAGGATTATC